GTTCTCGTGTAACTGACGGTGGCTCAGGTTTCGAGTTTCCGTGTATAGTGTTGCTGGTTCAATCCCAGCTCCGGAGAGCTATAGCGGCCGACATCTCTTTAACGGTGTTGGTGCGGTGAACTCCGGGTCAACATATCGCTGTGTCGTTCGTGATTCAATCATCAAGAAGAAGCTCGAGGTGTTTCGATCTTCACAAATTGGTATCAGAGCCGGAGGTTAGAAGTTTCAGAGTTCTCGAAGATCTAGCTCGGCGGTTAGCGAAAGGAAGTTACGATTTCTCAAATCGAAGATTGCAAGAAGACTCTTGTGATGTCAACTCGCAAGATGAAGATGGAGATCAAGATTTCGATGTTCGATGGAACTTGAGATTTCGCGATCTGGAAGAAAAGAATGCTGGCAAACTTAAGCGTTCAAGGATTAAAGGATGTCTTGACGCCTCCCTCACAGATCTCAGTGACGGCGAAGACAGACGAGGAAGAAGATGATGAAGACACCAAGAAGAAGAAGGATCTTGAAGAAGTGGCGAGATCTGAACGGGATGAGAAGGCGTTGAATATAATCTTCATGAGCGTTGGAGATCATTTCTAAGAAAACTCGATAAGTGTAAGACAGCTATGGAGGCTTGGGAGCTTCTTGACAAGTTGTATATGGCGAAGAATTTGCCAAATCGAGTTCACGCACAGCTCAAGGTGTACTCATTCAAGAAGCAAGACTCGAAGACAATCGATCAAAACGTTGATGATTTTCTCAAGCTTGTGACAGACTTGAGTAATCTCAACATCGAAATACCTGAGGAAGTGCAAGTGATTCTGCTACTCAACGCTTTGCCAAGCAGGTATGATTCTCTAAAAGAAACTCTAAAGTATAGTAGAGAGGCTATTAGTGTAGACGATATCTCTAGTGCTGCTAAGTTTAAAGAAATGGAATATAAAGAATCGTCTACTGCTAAGGTATCTGGGGAAGGAAACTATGTTAGAGGTAGAACAGAGAATAGGAATTATAACTCGTATGCAGGTAAGAACAAAAGCAGGTCTCGTTCTAAGTCAAAGGAGGGTAAACGTCTTTGCTGGATCTGTGGTAAAGAGGGTCACTTTAAGAAGCAATGTTACAAGTGGATAGACAGAAACAAGAGTCAGAGACAGGGTTCTGAAAGTGGTGAGTCGTCTTTGGCTAAAGATGATGCAAAAGATTTAGTTGGTCTTCTAGTGGCAGAGGTGAATTCTACAGAAGCAGACAGGGATGAGTGGATTATGGATACTGGTTGTACTTTCCATATGACTCCAAGGAAGGATTTGTTTCTAAATCTGAAGCCGTCTGATGGAGGAAGAGTTCGTATGGCCAACAACACTATTTCAGAAGTTAAAGGTGTTGGTTCAGTCAGATTCGAAAATGAAGATAAAACCACTTTTGTACTTCATGATGTTAGATACATGCCTGGTATCTCACGAAACCTTATATCAATGGGTAATCTTGAGGAGAAGGGTTGTGAGTTTAAGGGAGCGAATGGAGTTCTAAAGGTCATCAAGGGCTGCACTGTGTTTATGAAAGGTTTCAGAAGACAGTCTCTATACATACTTCAAGCAACAGCAAAGTCCAGTGGGTCAACACAAGGGGAGTCAAGTAATGCGGAGGTCAAGAAAGATCAGTTAAAAGAAGCTCAACTTTGGCACAGTAGAATGGGACATCTTGGTCAGAAAGGCATTGAAGTTTTGATTAAAAAAGGCTGTTTTGGAGACATTAAGGACAAAGAGGTGAGATTCTGTGAAGACTGTGTTATTGGAAAAACACATAAGGTAAGCTTCGGGCCAGCTATGCATGTTACGAGAGACAAGCTAGATTACATACACTCCGATCTTTGGGGCTCACCGAATGTTCCACCTAGTCTTGGTAAAGCTCAGTACTTCCTCACGTTCACAGATGATTTCTCAAGAAAAGTGTGGATATATTTTCTTAAGAGGAAGGACGAAGCCTTTGAACATTTTGTGTTATGGAAGAAGATGGTAGAAACTCAGAGTGAGAGGAAAATCAAGAAACTGCGTACGGATAATGGTCTAGAGTTTTGCAACTTTCATTTTGATTCGTTTTGCAAAGAAGAGGGAATGGTTAGACACAGGACTTGTACGTATACGCCGCAACAAAATGGTGTTGCAGAGAGGCTTAACCGAACCATAATGAATAAGGTTCGTAGTATGCTGAGTGAAAGCGGGCTTGAGCTCAAGTTTTGGGCTGAGGCAGCCGCTACTGCAGTGTTTCTGATTAACAGATCTCCTTCGTCAGCTATCAACTTTGAAGTTCCCGAAGAAAGATGGACTTCTGTTATGCCAAGCCTAAAAGGATTAAGAAGATTTGGTTGTGTAGTTTTTGTTCATAAGAGTGATGGGAAATTAAATCCAAGAGCTAAAAGGGGTTTCTTTACCGGCTATCCGGAGGGAGTAAAAGGTTTTAAAGTCTGGATACCTGAAGAAAAGAAAGTTATTATAAGCAGAGATGTAGTTTTCAAGGAGGATCAGGTTTATAAAGAAGTGAAAGAGGAGGTTTCAAGTGGTACTGCTACAGAAGATATTCCAAATATGGTGAGTTTAGAGCTGTCAGATACTCAGGGTAATAACGAAGATGAAGCTGAAGGTGGAGCTTCTGGAGGAGTGACAACTGTTTCAGGTGGAGCTGATATAACAGAGATAGAAGATGAAGAGGATTTAAGTGACTATCAGCTAGCAAGGGACAGGACAAGAAGGCAGATTAATCCTCCAAGAAGACTAGAGGGTTATGAGTGTGACGCAGCAGATGGAGAAGATATATATGCTTGTTACATTTGTGATTTATCAGAGGATACTAATCCAGAGCCTTCATCGTACAGAGAAGCCATGGAAGATAGTGACAGTGATCTTTGGAGAGAAGCTGCAAGAGACGAGATGGATTCTTTAAAGAAGAATGGAACTTGGATATTAGTTGATAAACCTAAAGATCAAAGAACGATAGGCTGCAAGTGGGTGTTCAGAAGAAAGGCTGGTATTATTGGAGTTGAACCACCAAGATATAAAGGAAGATTAGTAGCCAAAGGTTATTCTCAAAAGGAGGGTATCGATTTTCAAGAGATCTTTGCTCCTGTGGTTAAACATGTATCTATAAGATACATTCTGGCAGCGGTTACACATTTCAACATGGAGCTTCAACAAATGGACGTAAAAACAGCGTTTTTACATGGGACGTTGGATGAGACTATTTACATGGATCAGCCTGAAGGATTTGTAGACAAGAAGTTTCCAGAGAAAGTGTGTTTGTTGAAAAGATCTCTGTATGGGTTGAAACAGTCACCTCGTCAGTGGAATAGAAGATTTGATGATTTTGTAAGGACTCAAGGATATTCAAGGAGTGAGTATGATCAGTGTGTGTACTTCAAGATCAGTGATAAGGGTGTGTATGTGTATATGCTTTTATACGTGGACGACATTCTTATAGCTTCAACAGACAAGAGTCAGGTAGAGAATTTGAAGAAGGTTTTGAGTTCAGAATTTGAAATGAAAGACTTGGGTAATGCTAAGAAGATTTTGGGAATGGAAATCAATCGAAACAGAGAAGATTTTGAGCTATGGGTATCTCAAGAAGATTACTTGTGGAGAGTGTTGTCTAAGTTTGATATGGATCAGTCTAAGTCTGTTTCAACTCCAATGGGTGCTCATTTTAAACTCAAGTCTGGAACAGAGAAAGAGTTAAGGGAGCAGGCTTCTGCTATGAGTAAGATTCCTTATCAGAGTGCAGTCGGAAGTATAATGTACTCGATGGTGGGTACAAGGTTGGATTTGGCATATTCAGTTGGTTTAGTGAGTAGATTTATGTCGAAGCCACTTAAGGAGCATTGGCAGGCAGTAAAGTGGGTTCTGAGGTATATTAAAGGGACCGTTAACACAAGGTTATGTTACAAGAGGAAAGGTGACTTTGTGATTTAGGGTTACTGTGATTCAGATTATAGTGCAGACTTGGATCATAGGAGATCAATAACTGGTATGGTATTTACTGCTGGAGGGAATCCTATTAGTTGGAGATCTTCACTTCAGAAAGTAGTTGCATTGTCCACAACTGAAGCCGAATATATTGCATTGTCTGAGGCAGCAAAGGAAGGAGTTTGGTTGAAAAGATTTGCTGAAGAGTTGGGTTTTCCACAAGATTCAGTGAAGATATACTGTGATTCTCAAAGTGCTATTGCACTGTCGAAGAATGCAGTATATCACGAGCGCACAAAGCATGTAGCAACAAAGTATCATTTCATTCGTGACTTGATTAATGTTGGTGAAGTTGATGTTCTCAAGATTGCTACCGCGTATAATCCTGCTGATATTTTTACAAAAGTTCTTCCAGTGTTCAAGTTCAGAGAAGCATTAAAGTTGCTTCGAGTTTCAAAAGAGTAAAGGATGCAGGAGGTTTGATTGTAGCCGGTAAAGGCTGCAATGGTCTGGTAAAAGACACAAGGAAGAGCAACTCGGTAAAGAGGAGTTCAGGTATGATTCACCAAGTTTGAAATCTTGTCTAAGGTGGAGATTTGAAGATTGTAGACAAGATTAAGATATCGGTTTAGATAGATTAGGACTTGGTTTATTAGTCCGGTTAAGGTTGTAATTAATTGCTATACCGGGTCTCTCTCTTATTAGAAGATTACATACGGTTTGTGTATGTGGTTAGGGTTAACCGTTCAGTTATAAGAGCGGTTTAACTCTTAGGTATATAAGGTCACTTCTTCTCTTAGCTGATGTAATCTGTAACAGCAAGAGAGAAGTTAGCCGAGAGAAAGAGAGAGATCCAAGGTTCTCGTGTAACTGACGGTGGCTCAGGTTTCGAGTTGCCGTGTATAGTGTTGCTGGTTCAATCCCAGCTCCGGAGAGTTATAGCGGCCGACATCTCTTTAACGGTGTTGGTGCGGTGAACTCCGGGTCAACATATCGCTGTGTCGTTCGTGATTCAATCATCAAGAAGAAGCTCGAGGTGTTTCGATCTTCACAAGAAACCTACGCCCCCACTTGTCCATAGATAGACACAAGCGTGGCGGCGAATTTAACCGAGCCAGTGACCACGGCGGACATGAGAGAAGCATCGGTCGTGAAACCAATGGTGTTGAACAAAACGGGAGCGTAAAACATAATCACATTGATTCCAGTGAGCTGCTGAAAGAAAAGTATCATAATGGCCATGGTGAGATGTGGCCAGCGGAGTAGGTTTGTCCACGGGTGCTCTATCGACAGAGACTCTTTACTAGCTGCGACTAAATAGTCAAACTCTTGGCTGACGTCATTGACGCCACGGATCCGTCTGAGCTTGGTTTTGGCCTCCTCGTGCTGGCCACGCTCGATCATTGTGTCAGGAAGGATCAGTGAGCCGAGTGTTATAATCAGGGCAGGGACCCCATCCCCAGCCGCCTTTGATTTTGGCAAAGAAGTAGTTGAGTACTTCAGCTATGAGGATTCCGATAGTGATTGAAAGCTGGAAGCCATAGTGATTGAAAGTTGGAAGCCGATGTTTAGAGTTCCTCTATATTTGTATGGAGCCATTTCGGATAGGTAAAGTGGCACAAAACAGCAAAAGAACATAGAGACCACAACCGGAGAACGATCCGAGGCACTGCAGACCCTCCCTAAAAATGCTGGTAAGTGTACATGAACCTAATTAAACGATTTATTACATATAGTTTTGTCCTAATAGTTTATGTTCTATCTATAAATTGAATCAAACACTTATAAGTCGTATTGTACAACTTAAAGGACTCCAAAGGTGTGGGAAAAGCTGTTGCCTTCGTTGGACCAATTATCTAAGACCGGACATCAAGAGAGAGGAAGATTCTCCTTCGAGGAAGAAGAAATTATGGGAAACAAGTAAGCCTCATTTACACCATAAGTTATATAAGATCCATTAGCTACAAATTTGGTACGTTAATTAATGAAAAAGCGAGGGTGTACGTATATTAATTTGACCTATCATTTAATATAAGATACACTATATATTATTGGGAAAATTGCCAAAAAGGGATGAAATAGGTATACTATTGTCCCCTTAGAACAAAATTTTCGATCTTTGTCCCTATAGTAGAAACAATAATGAATACCCCCTTTTGTCTTTATTCTATTGAAATTTTCCTAATTAAAATGTTAATTATTTTGTAAATTTTTTTTAAATGGTTTTGTCGTAACAAAACCAAAAAGAAACCCTCAGCTGCTTTAATTAAAAACAGAAATTAAAACCGTTGCTCCCGACGGAGAAGAAGGAGGCGATATCACCGGCTCACGGTCGTTTCCGTTTTGCCGGAGAGTTCGAAGCAGGCATCACATCTCCTCGTCGTCGTCCTTTCCTCTTTACTTTCCTGTTTACTTTCGTTTTGAAGCAGTCATCACATCTCCCCGTCATCGTTGTCGGAGTTCTCTAACCTCCGATATAGCTGTTTCTCGGTCAAGAAGGGACGATTACCTACGCAATCTTCTTTGTTTCCTCTTCTTTCATCTCGATTCCCAAAACTCGAAGGTTAGGGTTTCGAAATCCCCTTTACAATTTTTCAATTGTTTTCGTTTTTGTTTATGTGCATGTAGTAGAAATAGTCTGAATTGTTTATAACACAAATCGATTCACGTTTTTGGTTTTGATTTTTGTTTGTGGTTGAGTTGATTTTTGTTTGTGGTTGAGTTGATTGTATTTTGTTGTTGACTTGGTTTGAAAGTAGATTTCCTTTCTTTGTCGAGTGTGTACTATGGTTTGAATTCAAAAATCTAATGAGTTCGTCATCTAAAATAGTTGGATTTTATATCTTGTTTGGGTTGGGATTTGTTATTCAAATTTCTGAGATTATTTTATTGATAATTTCACAATGTAAAGTCGGTCATTATAGAAGTCACTGAGACTCTAATTTAGACATTACTCAATTTGGTTTTGGTGGAGACCTTAGACACTGATTTTGTTTCTTTGTCGTGTCTAATATACTGGTAAATGTGAGATGGTTATGCTTTGTATTCTGACCATTTCTGGACTTTCTTAAACGTGTGGCTAACGAGTTCAAGTATCATTTCCTGTTTTGTAGGAATGGCTTACCAGTTTCCAAAGTGGATTTGTGAAGACGGAGCTGAGCTCCGAATTGATAAGATCAACAATACATGTAGACGTACGATGCTTGCATTGTTGAAGGATTTTCTTAAGGATGAGTATGAAGAAGTTTTGAAAGACCCTGTCTTCGGTCCGATTCTGGCAATTGTAGACAACAAACTCATTTACTCAGGGAAGATCATTCACAGCTTTATATGCAANGCGCTGAAGCAAAATAGCAATATCAACATATACATGATAAGGGACGAGCTACTTAAGGTGTGTAACAAGTGGTCATATGTGGACAGGGTGAGGTTAGTGTATCTGTGCCTTATACATGGGTTCATCGTGGCTAAGGATCCGAAAGTGTATATCCCTCAAGAATACATCCGTTTGGTGATGGATTTTGAGAAAATGAGAATGTTTCCGTGGGGTCTTCGCGCTTATGACGAGCTGCTTGCTTCCATATTAAAGGCAAGGACCGATTTGCATCTGAAGAACAGCTACATTTTGGATGGATTCTCATATGCGTTTCAGATATGGATCATGGAGGCAGTCCCAGACATTGGTACTATGGTAGCTAAGAAGTAAAAAAAAAACATTGTCAAGGTGAGGTGTAGAAATTGGGCAGGAAGTGGAAAAGTATCTTATCAAGATATCATCAGCCTAGAATCCCACTTTGACAAGGTAATTATCTTGCTACTATTAATATTGAGATCAAAATTGTCTTTGTGGTGTTGATTGTTTTGTTTTTTTCATGGCAGGGAGAGTTGTTTCCATTTATATCATCAAGTGGGAAGTCGGTTGTGATTGATGATCCTGAGTTCAAAAGAGAAGATGAGAAGAAGGACGAAAGTGTTGATATGATTGTTGATATGATCAAAGCCAATCATGACTGGAGGGAATTCGTTTGGGAAGTTGAGTCTCTGCCAACAAACAATCTATTTTCTGACGAAGAAGAAGACGATGTTGAAGATGAAGATGTCACGGAGCCGCCTATTGTTGCAGAGAAGTCGACAGCTGCTGTCAAGAGCGCGAAGCGTAAGCGCCATGATCCTGGTGTGGAGTCTCGGAAGAGAGAACTCCTATGTCAACGAGCAGCTGAACATAAGAGTGGTGTCTCCGGTGAAATGAAGACCTTTATTCAGGGGTTGTTCACCTCTTTTAAGGACATGGTGCAGAAGGAGATACAAGAGCGTCTTGATAAGGTCGATACTGAGGTGGCTAATATCAAAGAAACAATGTCTCAGTTTATGGCTCCTTCAGATGCACTCGGGAAAACCACAGCAGCTGAGATCCCGACACCTTCAGGACCAATTGGAAAAGATCAAGACAACTCTTCACAGAGTCCGGGTCCTTCATCTACACTAATGCAAGATCAAGCTAAGTCATCACAGGCTCCACGTCCTTCAGCAGAAAAAGGAAGAGCCAATGTGAGTGTGGATCCAAGTGCGGTTCGTCGTAGTCCTCGCACAGTGAGAAAGGTAACAACAACATGAAGCTATGTGAGATTATGTGTGGGTTGAGTATTCTAAGTACTTTTGATAAGGTCGCTATCTTTTGTTGTAAGTTTTTGTGCCGTTTGTAATGTACTTGGCAGGTTATCGGCTTGTAAGTTTGGGTGTGGTTTGTAATATATTTGGAGTGTAGCTTATCGCAAACTTATGTATTATAAGAATGTTTACTTATTTTAGTATTAATGCTATGGTTGGTTGTATACTTGTATTAACAGAATGACAGTGAAATGTTGGAGTTTTTGAAGAATCTAACAAAAACCAAGAAACATGTAGACAAGAGGAAGGGGACCCAAGAGTCTTTACAAAATGCCATGGGAGATCTTTCTCAAGCATCACATGTTAAAGGTTTCGATCCCTCACAAAGTCTCAATGACGACGAACAACCGGAATGGGTTACTCCATTATCTACGTTCAAGCCTACGGACTGGATACCACCTAGTCTCAAAGATATGGAACTCCCTAAGGACCGCATGAATGATGCTGATTACAATCTAGTGTTTGTTGCTGAGGATCAATGGGCCAAAGTGACTGAGTGGTTGACAACTTCCTGGTTAGTTTATATTGTTTTTTAGTGATAAAAAAATTTGATCCTTGTGTAACTGAAGCTTGCATTCCAGGGTACTGAAGCTTGGACCTAGTATGTTCACAAGTGAGTTAGCAAAACGTGTCATTGGACCTACAGAGTGGCTCTTCAATAAAGTGAGTTTCTAATTTGTTGCTTCTTTGTTTCTTTACATCTGTTTTCAATCTTCCCATCTTTTTTTCTATATTTTCAGGAAATTGATGCTATGATGTTTGTATTCAGTGAGAGGAGAAGATAAACAAAAGAACATACTCTTGCACGAACAAAACACATAGTCTTCTAAACAAGCATAAACGAGACAAAAGAGACAAAACGAAACACATAGTCTTCAAAACAAAAGTTGCATAAAGGAGACATAGTCTTCAAAATAAAAGTTGCATAAACCGAGAAACGATGAACAAAACAAATAGTCTTTTAAACGCATTGACACTCCTATATTGGTGTATCACATCTTCTTCTATTGTGTCCTATAAGTCCACATCTACTGCATTTCCGAGCTTTAGAGCCTTGTGTTCCCTGTGATGAACGGATCTTATCTTCTACTGTCTCGTGTCGGCGTTTCTTTTTCCTACCTGCACCTCGTCTACTCTCGGGAGCAAGTACTTTTGACTGTTCCACATCAGGAGGAACAATCCATGCATCTTCAGGGACAGAAATATGATTTATGCTTTCTGCGTAAGCCGAGTTCCATGTCGCCGTAGTGTACATGTCATCAGTGAGAGTGTGTGGTCTTCTTCCAACGCTGAAGCCGGCTTTTATGGCGTGTCTGCAAGGGATTTTCATCAGATCAAATTTCCCACAAGTACATGTGCGTCTGACCAAGTCAACCATGCAGTCAATAACATCACCCCGAACCAANGCAAGGGATTTTCATCAGATCAAATTTCCCACAAGTACATGTGCGTCTGACCAAGTCAACCATGCAGTCAATAACATCACCCCGAACCAAAAACCTCTCATCACTAACCGGGAAGACCTTAAACCTTTTACCTTTCTCAATCCGTCTATCAATCTTCTTCTCAACAGCAATGGTCAGTGGCTTGGAGTGCTTAGAACTTAGAGTTCTACGATTGAAAAACCATCGAGTCATCATTTCCCTAATGCTGTCCAATAAAGGTATTATTGGAAACTCTCTAGGCGTTCTCAAAGCAGAATTTATCGACTCCGCTGGGTTTGTAGTCCTAATATC